AGTAATTCAAACACCAGAAAATATTGAGAAATGATCATTGTTATGAGACCAGAAAATGTCCTTTAGTTTCACTCAAAATGCTGTGATATCTCAGCATCCCAGACAACATCTAGATGATGTCTAGATTAGGGATGCACTGAAATGGAAATGTGTGGCCGAAGCCGAATAAAATTAAATGCTTGGCCGAATACCGAATACCGTTGTTTAGTTTTTCATTAGTTTTTGCAGATGAACCCCCTCCAGATTAGTGTTGTCATGGTACCAAAATTGGGACCCACGGTACGATACCAGTGAAAGTATCACGGTTCTGAGTAGTATCAGGATACCACAACGAAAATGAGGCAGATGTGCCTTTTGTCATTTATAAAAAGATAAATCACTTTTCTATAATACATCAATGATATTTCAATGGAATAAATTACTAATTGACTTATTTATACTTAAGAAACAGCATCAATAAGTGATTAACATGGGGGATCAAAATAAAATAAATAAATAAAATAAAAATCAACCAGCCACCCTCCTCCCCTGACAAGTAAAGAGCAGTCCCTTCGTAAGTAAAGAACAGTCCCTAAAGTGCGGTGAGGTTTGTGGACCGTTACCTGCCACAAAGAGAGAAATGTGAATGGCTCGTTTCCCCTCAGACACGTCACATACCTGTGTGCCGCCACGGCTCGGCTGTCCAGGTACTTTTGGGCAGTCATGACGCCAAGAAGAGGACATTATTGGAGCCGGACTTCTCCGTCGCCTGTAAGCCTTATCTTGTGCCGCGAAGCACTATGGCTGCCATATTTGACAGGAATACATTCCTGTCTGTGTCTGTGACCCCAATTCAACCCACAACCAGCGGGATTCGCCTTTCGTGTCTGCTGCTGGTTGAAATCTGTACTCACACAACGTGCTGAATGATTTATTTTGCTCGAACAAAACTATTTTTAGTCACAAATGTGAGTGCAGTGACGGACGGAGTGAAATATCACCACACTGCTGACAATTTACTCCGTCCGTCACCGCTGAAGATAGACTAGGTGCATCCCTAGTCTAGATTCATGTCACAGTGAATAATTAATTACATCCATAAATTGCCAAATTCTAAGACTGCAGCTTGAAATACAGTGTCATGTGATATGTTGGACCCTGAAGTTTGACTGATTGTGTCACTGTGCTTACAGGAGGAAGGCTCAAGTTTCTCAACCACTGATGGCACTTCTGACTGCACAGGTAAGAGGGGGTGGGACATAATGAGGTGATACTAAATTAAGTTTGTAGTAAGTAGTTTGTGGTACTGTACTATGTTACTGAAAAATAATTCTTAAAGGTAAAGATGATAACTTTAGAGAAATGAGATGTAATTATATCTGCTACCTTTAGTGAAAATGCACATTTCATAAACCTTTAGTTTTGTTTAGGGATGCACAATGATATTGGCTCAGAGGCAGATAAAGGCTCTAAAATAAAATATCGGCATCAGTCAAAAATGAACATTTCTGCCGATGTTACAGGCCAATGAGATGACGCTTCAGTTATGTGCACACAATGTGAGCTGTTGACCAAAAAGTAATGAGTAGGCCTAGTTTTCTTCTTTTGCTTCATGAATGTTGAAAAGCACTCTATGTCTGCATCTGCCAGTCAGCGATCACAATAAGAGAAGGCGTAATAATAACGTGTTAAATATCCGATGGGCCACCTGCAGGCCGTCCTGGTTTTAAAGAATGCATTACAGTAAAGTGATTTAATTTTCTGAACTAACCAGACTGTTCTAGCTGTTCTTATATTCGCCTTTACCCACCTAGTCATTATATCCACATTAGTGATGATTATTTATCAAAAATCTCAGTGTTAATATTTTGTGAAAGCACCAGTGGTTATCCCCACAATATTGTCACAATATCAATACTGAGGGATTTAGTCAAAAATATTGTGGTAATTTATGGTATGTTGTTTTAGAGAAAATGTTTATATCGAGAGAGATATATATATATATCGTATATGGCAGAATAGCCTAAAAATGTCGATATTATTTATAAGCCATATCGCCCAGCCCTAATAAGCAGCTGCTGTCAGACTCTCCATGTCAACGCTGGAAACACAGAGAGTCCGCTGAGCTTTGACAGAGTCACTAGTTCACATTCATGGCCCTTTGTGAAAGTTTCAGTATGGTACCTGTGTTGTTAGCGCAGCTAGCTGCTGAGAGGCTCTCCGGTGTATGGGTTAGAGTTAAAGTCATCACAATATGTAGAATTTAAATAAAATGTCAACATTTGGACCTGAATCAATCAACAACACTATTATATACCCAGATACATTGGTTTTCAGCAGAGAAAAGTGGTTTGGGGGTTTAGTTAGTCTTTAATGACAGATTTGTGGACAGAGGATTTCAACCATATCTGCGCAAATTAAACAGTGCACAGCAGCACACAGCCAGCCGGACCCCAGCCTGGCACTGACCCACACTGGGGAGCGTGTGGCTGCGCTTATGGGGTCTCCTTCAATTTAAGGCATAAGTGGTGGAGGAGATACAGACGTACCACCTGTGTCTGAGCCAGATAATGGTAAATATTTAAATGTGCCCCATTCATAAGAAATACATGTCTGCAGATGCCATATTATTAACTAGAAGTCTGTCTGAACGGACACTGCATTAGTATGATCTAATAACAATTATCATACAAAGCCATACACTGTACTGCAAGTCCACGCTGATTTAAAACTTGCGTACACGAGCTGAGACCTGGTGTGAGATTTGATTGTACCCTATGCTCACGTCCAAATTGATAAATGCCAAAGTTTGCTTGGAAATGAGCGTACGCCCACTATTCTGGTGTACGTTCGTTTGATAAATGAGGGCCAGTGTGTTTAGTTGTAGTTCCATCAACTATGAAAAATTTTATGGTTATATGAAATTTTAAGTCATGTTATTTTGATTTTGGTGTAACTACAGGTGGTATTGTTAGCTCATCTTGAACCCGATTAACATTTTTCTCTTCTGTAATTTATTTGCAGTTGCTGATGTGACAGATGGCTTTCACGTTAAACAGAAGAAAGAGGTAGGATATGTTATATGGGTTCTTAAAATCGATAGTTTAACTAGTTGTGTACATGCACGACTGTGTACATATGATGGAAATCAAAACAATAATATGACAGTATACCACTGAGGCCCCCTGCGTGCTTCACCATTATCTTTAATTAATTAATTAATTAATTTTTATTTAATAATTTATTAAAACTGTTTGAGGACAAGTTCATGAACTTTGATTCAATTCTGGCCCGGGCCTGTTGCTGCATGTTGTTCCCTCTCTGTACTCTGTCCCATCCAGAGCATGTGAGCGGAGTGGAGTGGTAAGAATTTCTGCTCCTCGCTCTCAGAGCTGTTTGTTCCCTCAGCTCCCCGGCTCAAAGCCGCTCCAGGTCACTCCGCTCAATATCGCTCTGCGCTCATCTCTGATTTCACCCTGCTCCACTCAAATCGTTCACTGCTCACTCAAAAAAAGAAAAAACCTGTATTGTATTTTAATTTTAGCTTAAACACTAGCCAGACTAATTCACAAGTAAAACATGAGCTCGGCAGATACATCTGGTTTCTACTTTAAAAGCATAATTTAATATCAATTAAAAAACACAACCCAACTCAAACCTTAGGTTAATGTTTCTGTTTTAACCTAATAAGTTATTAGTTAAAAATGTTGTTTAATCAAATTAAACTTTAAATAACAAAATTGTTTCTCTCCATTATGAGCTCTCTCTCATGTCTCTTTCTGACTTCTCGCAGTCTCGAGGCATGTTCAGACCAAACACGAGGTGAATTTTTGCATTGCGTTATTCTCTGCTAGTTTGATCACGGGATCATTTGTGTTTATTCGCCCGAAACAGGCAGAAAATCTACTGTAGCCTACATTAGCCGTAAGCTAGCGAGCAATGGCAGACACCGAGGGTGTGTTTGTGTTCAGTTGAGCCTCTGACTGAACACTCACCAGAATTTCCCTCCAGTCTCTTTTCTTTTCTCTCCTCTCTGTACGTTCCCGTCCAGTCAAAAGTTCAAAAGTTTCAACAGTTTGAAAATAAACTGAGCTTTCCTCCCACTGGTAAACGGCTCCAGAGCAGAGGAGAATCTGGTGCTAATTCGTACAGCAGGTCCCTCTCTTTCCTCTGTCCTCCATAGTTCCCCACTTTCAGTAGCTGTCTGCCGGTGTTTGTCCCTCTGCTCCACCCGGTCCTATTGTGGACGCAAATTTTTTAAAAATCTGCTCTCTGCTCTTCTCTGCTCCCATGCTCTGGTCCTCTCTGATAAAGCATACATGGCCAAATAATAATTTGGCTAAACAATGGTGAACATTTTTTATTGTTTTGCAGGCTCAAAGTCATTACTTAAGTTGCCTTCAGAAACTCAAAGCACATCACGATGTGTGTGAGAACCTCTACGAGAAGGCGCACACAAAAAGGTTAAACGATGAGAGAGAGAGAGAGGACCTTGTTTTTCCACCATAGCCTGAATACAACAGTAAGTTGTACTACACCTTTTTATAAAGTACGTTAGAGTGACAAACAAAAGAACATAATGACAGGGATAGTTCTCTTTCTTGTGTCTCATTAGCAAACATTCATTAAAATCTGAAAGGAGCAGTGATGGTGAGTTCACTGTGTTCTGGAGATGCACCCTATTTTTCCCTGGTAATTCTACATTGTGAACAACAAATCCATGTTAAACTGGCCTAATAGAAATCAACAAACGAAAAGTCATTGTCAAAAAATTCCAGCAAAGGCTGGCTCAGATAGTGGCAGCGGCAGCACCGTGTGCGTGACATGTCATGATCATGTGACGGGAGCTGAGTGATGCTGAGCAATACAAAGATTCAACTTTACAGTCAGGTGTTTTTTTTTTTTTTTTTTTTAGTCCACACTCCAATCAGCCTACGTGAGTGTTTTACCTGTAGCCTTGCATTTTAAAGCCTTTCTTCGTCATCTGTGATGTGAAAACATCACATTTCCACACAGTCAGAGAAAGTCAAAGTGTGCAGCGTCATGCTCATAGTTCAGTTATTAAATCCCAGCATGCACCACAAAGTGTCTCTCCTGACTGCAGGCTCTAGACATTTTGGGGACAGCCCTGGATGTGACACTGTTTTGTAAAAAAAGTTTCAGATTTGGGATTTTATTTGTGTAATTTTCAGATACATCTTCTAAATACATGAATATGACTATAATTATAGCCTGAGTGTGTGGGATTTCCCCCCCTCTGGTCTATATATCCTTGCTTCTACTAAATTATTTTATCCCTGGTGGAGACAAAATTCTCATAAATCTCATAGTGATTAATGAATGTATCGAAGTTAAGCGCTGCAGCTAGCAGTCTAATGTGCAAACAACAATAATTTTTCTGTAAAGTTTACTTTAACAGCTGTAATTATTATTAGTAGCAATCTGGGGACATCTAACAAAGTCTCTTACTTTTATATTTTCACTCGTTATCTAGGAAAATAAAACAATTTGTTTCCTAATTTTTTTTTTCCTTCAGTATTGATAACAGTACAATTAAAATACTGGATCAATAAGCAGTATCAATAAGAGTAATAGTACCGTTAAAATCTTAACGATTCCATCCCTATTTCCCATAATGCCTAGTGCTTGACTGAATAGTTTAAGTTTGCTGTTTTGTGTTCCAAAATGCAAATTTTACTTTTTATTACATTTTGTAATATGTCAGAACATGATGATTTATGTCAGAATATAGTGGTTTATGTTGGTTGTTTTTTGTGCTGGTTTATAGTTTACACCATAAGTAAGGAGGCCGTTACATTTAATGACACCATGTCTTTCATTTTAATCGTGGAAAAGTCACAATCACCCAAACCTATTGTAGGGCTGCTCAATAATGGCAAAAATCATAGTCACAATTATTTTATTCTTGAGATCACAATTATTTAATGCGACCACTCTTTGACTTTGGAAACACTGTGCATTTATTGAACTTTGTTGGCGAAGTTGGGGTGGGGGAAAGAGCGCATCTGAACACACACTGCTCATCAAACTCTGATCAAACTGGCAAATTAAGTAGTTCTGATCAAATATGACTCAAGATCTTGTTACTGCAGGCTGTTTCTTGCTTGAGCGACCGGAGCGAAATTGGAGCGAGAGATAAGGCTCCGCTCCACCTTTTTAGAAAATAAATAAATAAAAAATAGCCGCTCCTCGCTCAACACAAAATCCTTCCGCTCCCTGCTCCAGCTCCACTCCGCTCACGGGTTTTCAATATTTGTAGTATTTTTTTTTTTGTTGTTGTTGTATGTTTTTAGTTTGTAAAGCGCTTTGGGGTTGCATTTTTGATGTATGAAAGGTGCTATATAAATAAAGTTTGATTGATTGATTGATTGATTGTTGCATCCCAGCGCTCCATTTGTCTCTCCCTTGTAAGAATCCCAGAATCACATTTTAACCATACATTTGAAAGGATAGTCTGGGTTTATAAGAGTCCCTTCTGATTTGTCCCAAAACTGGGAGTCCTTACTGTTCACTCAAAATGACTTAATACCAATTATTATTGTTTTAATAAAATTGGACTCCTAACCCTTTTGAGGAAGGAGTTTTTCCAAATGTTTCCTCAGAACTCAATTTCATTTATCTATCCTCAGTAGCTTTCCTTGCCCCATAGCCATTGTGACATCATCATTAGAATGTTTGGTTCACATAATACTAATCACTTGGGTGTAATCGTATACCTCAAACAGGTTTAGCATTTGCTAGCATCACTTTAAATCTATTGCTAAGCAACATGCTTCATGACCCCTTTAACTGAGCGTCTAACTGAGAGTCTATTTGTTCCCATGAGACCAATTTCATCAAGCTATGATGAGGTTAAGGGGCCTGTTTGAAAATTGTCTCACCGATTTTATTATTTGTGCTACCATTGGCACCCATGTTCACCAACAACATATTGTTCATAAAGCTTCTCGTTGGCCCTGAAAGATAATTGTATTATGAAGTTGCATCCCTTTCCCTGATTCTCAAGTAAAATAAATGTCTCTCTTCTATTGTAGCTGACCAAAGAAATGCTTGGGTACAACACCGATTGTTCAATTTTCAGCATCGACCTCAGCGAAGATGACTATGTCCCAGCATCATCAGAGGACAGTTCATCTGAATCATCAGAACGAAGTAGTCAGAAGCGACACCGTGTGAAAGAACATTCAAAACTCCACAAACTGAGACCAAAGACTTCATTAGAATAAAAAAACAGCTCAAATGGGTTATCAGGAGCCAAGATAAAGAAGCGAGGCAGGGAAGCAGGCTTGCATTCCAGAGAAGAGGATTCCGATGAACCAAGACTCAAAACAGGGACACATTACAAGAGGAGTGACAAGAGAAGCTTAAGTTCTAGCAAGGAAGAAGATTCTGTTGAATCAAGACACAAAACAAAGACGAGATACAAAAGGAGTAACAAGAGAGGCTCAGGTTCTAGTGAAGAAGAGGATTCAGGTGAATCAAGACACACAACAACGAAACGATACAAAAGGAGTGACAAGAGGGGCTCAAGTTCTCGAGTAGAAGGTGAATCAGGTGAATCAAGACACAAAACAAAGAAATGATACAAAAGGAGTGACGAGAGGCTCAAGTTCTCGAGTAGAAGGTGAATCAGATGACTCTGCATCAGTCAAAAAGAAAAATAGAAACACTTACACAAGATGTAAAAAATCTACTGATAATGCACTGTCAGTTAAGAGGAGTGATTCTCTTGTTGTCACTAATGTTCTAAAAATAGATGGGTCTAAGAAATACAACCAAAAGAAAAATTACTGTATTTTCTGCTGGGAACCCCAATCAAAAATTGCACGCCATCTGGAACGTAAACATTGGGATAAAATGGAAGTCGCTAGTGCAATGATGTATGCAAAGAACTCTAAAGAAAGGAGAAATCAGCTGGATCTCCTTCGCAAGCAAGGAAATCGGGCACACAACATTACAGCACTCACAAAAGGAAAAGGGATACTGGTATCTTGTAGACAACAAAGTGATGGCAAGAGTAGTCCAAAGGACTATGAGCACTGTTTTGCATGCTTTGGGTACTTCAAACGCAAGACTTTGTGGAGGCACGCAAAACAGTGTGCACTTGCTCAAAATCTTCTCAGAACATTACCTGGAAAAACAAGACTACAGGCTCTCTGTGCTGCGGCTCAACCTGCATCTTAAGATGTGAACATGAAGGTATGGACCCTCGTGAATGACATGACTCAAGATGAAATTGCTCATGCTCCAGAGCATGCAACAAGACAAATATATGATGAAGGTTGGAGAAAAGATGTACAACAGTCAACGTGAAACTGCCTCTCAACATGACAAGGTTTGGCAAATTATGCGAGGACTGGGGAGACTGTTGATCCTAGGAAGGAAGGTGACCCCTCTGAAAAAGATGGAGGATTATATCAATCCACAACACTTTCATCATGTTGTTTGAGCTGTCAAAGAAGCAACTGGATTTGATGAAAAGAGGAACAAGTTTGAAAAACCCACCCTAGCCACAAAGCTAGGGCAAAGCATCCAGAGAGTAGCAGACATCATGGTGGCTGAAGCACTTTTATCCCAGAACAATGAAAAAAAGCAGGTTGTCCAAGAGTTTAGACGCATGTACAGTCTTACCTGGAATGAGATGATCTCTTCCGCTGCATACCGTACACTGGAGGAGAAGAAATGGAACAAACCCAAGCTCGTTCCATTAGCAGAAGATGTGAAAAAAATGCACATGTACATGACAGACAAGCAGAAACAATACCATGGGTAGTTGTTTGATGAGAAAACCTCAAAGAATTGGAGCAATCTTGCTAAAGTAATACTGGCATAGATAATCCTTTTCAACCGAAGACGAGAAGGCGAGGTCTCAAAGATGCATTTGGAAGCATTTCTCAGCAGGGACAACTCCCCATTTAATGAAGATACTGGTGAAGCACTGACGGAGTTGGAGAAAAGGCTCTGCCAGCATTTCGAACGTGTGGAAATTCGAGGGAAGCATGGCAGGAAGGTGCCCATCATCCTTACTCCAGCAATGGTGCAATCTCTGGAGCTACTTGTGGAGGAGAGAAGCTCATGTGGAGTGGGTTAAAACCTCTACTTATTTGCAAGACCAGGGTTTGAAACAAGGCTTAGGGGGTCTGACTGCATCCGTGAGTTGGCTAAAAACTGGGGGGCCCAAAAACCTGAAGCTCTGTCATCCACAAAGCTGAGAAAACAAGTGGCCACTCTGTCAAGAGTACTGAATCTAAATGACACTGAGCAAGATCTTTTGGCAGACTTTCTGGGACATGACATAAGAGTACACAGGAAGTTCTATCGCCTCCCCTAAGGGACTTTGCAGTTGGCAAAGATCAGTAAGGTATTGATGGCCTGTGAACAAGGCAGACTGGCCGAATTCAAGGGGAAAAGTCTGGACCAAATCTCGATCAGCCCCTAAGGTAAGAAACTATTAATTGTAAGGGCAAAGTTGACTGTTGACTGTTGCCTGTTACGTATTGTACACAAATTTCAGTTGATACAATTTGCCTTTGTTTGCCATTTTGAAGACAAATTTGAGGTTATGGAAGAAAGCTCAGGGGAGTCATCTGCAGATGAAGATCATCCAGCTTCTTCAGCAGGTATGTCTATGCTTCAAATTGGTGTGCTTGATCACAACAACGTTTCCCTTTTTTGGGTTAATGTTTACATCCTCAATCTATATACAGTAATTCTGGACATCATACAGTCAGGCTGTATAGATCACTAGTCATGCCACATGCATCATTTTGTTTCCTATGCACGTTTTCCAGGAGAGGAATTTGTTACTGAAGACGAGCAGAGCACTTCAAAGCAGCAGCCTGGACAAAAGTGAGTCTCGGGAGGTAAGAATGTGGCATAGTCATTACGTGTGCCATATGTATGTTAAATTATTGTTGTAGCTGTGTTTGGTTAGAGCATCTATAGACAGTATTTCTGGACATTTATACACATTACACAACATGCAGAGGGTCATTCTTGCCCTGTTTGAGTTCATTTTCTATGACTGTTTTCCAGGAGGAGCTTCAGTGACTGGAGACAAACGGGGTACTTCTAAGCAGCAGCCTGTAAAGAAACAAAGCTCCGGAGGTAAGCACGATGCATGGCCGTCACTTTTCCCACCCTGATATGTGTCAGCAGCAGTTCCTATACACTGGAACTGAACAGCAAGAGGAGAAATCAAAGGCTGATCAAACCTTTTTATGCCAGACACTAGCTAGTATGTCCAGTCTAGTCTGCTTGGCTAGGGTATTTACTTTGTTGGCTTTGTCATCACAATGCCCTGGTTCCACAAATGGTGTGAAGTGAAAATATCAACTTGATCGTTTTTATAGATCAAGGTCTATATTCCCAGCACTGTTCGAACGTTCATATACATACGCCAAAACAATTACCTGGCAGCTAAGTAAAACAGCAGTGTTAAAGAAATTAGCAAGCAGCTAGCTACTTAACAATGAAAGCAGTTAAAAAACTCAACTACTACTAAAAATTGCAAACTAACACTAAGGTTCAACATACATCCAGACTGCATTGTGGATAGGGTTCATAATCTGAATCTGGAATGCAAAGATTAGGAAATATGATTAACCTCAATTACCTGACCTATAAACGTAGTTAACTATTGAACATTTACTAAGATTTGAATGTAGTTTAACTACCATCCTACAACTGCAAAATGTAGTTGAAGTAGTAAGTGAACTACACGTTGTTACTTATTCCCCAACACTGGTAAACCAGTTGTTTTAGCATGGTATTTTATATATGGGCAACTTAGGTAGGTCCTCAACCCACCCTATTTTCTTTAGCCAACGACTCGATACTGAACAGCAACACGTACATATATTGGTAGGAGGGCAGGAAATTCAGGCTGGCTTCCCCTTTCCTATTGATGTCTGACAATTTTCAACATTAAATTATTAAATTTCTTGTGGATTAAGTGTTCTTTACAATCTCTTTTCCAAGGTGCTAAAAAGGCAAATGAAAATGGTCAACAGAGGAGGTGAATGCAGTTGAACAGTCTCTGATGGACTTCATTCGTATGGGGAAGACACCTGGAAAACAGGATTGTGAGAGGTGCATCGCTGCTTCCCCTCAAGCCCTAGCTGAGAGGGACTGGAGAGGTGTAAAATTCTATGTTCACAATAGAATAGTTTCAGATCAGAGGTTGTAGGAACACAATAGTCACATCAGATACATCTAGTTCTGACGTATTATCTAGTTCTGACGTATGGAATTGAAATTGATAACCTAAAAGTCTTTCCACAGAATCCCTCGCTATCGGATCATTATCTGATTACTTTTGATTTCTTTTTACCCGATTGCACGCCACTCAGCAACAGTTACTATACTAGATGTTTATCAGATAGTGCTGTCGCAAAATTTAAGGAAAAGATTACTCCGTCGTTAAATTCAATACCAAGTCCCTCAGTAACAGAGGTTTCCTGTACCAACTTTGATCATTTTGTCGATAGCGCCGTAGGCTCGCTG